AGTCAGAGGCCTCCCTGTCCCCTGCCTGCCTTAGAGGGCCTGAAATGCCCTTGTTGGCACAAGGTTCCTGACTCTCAGTGGATGAGGCCACCTGCCCCTTCCCAGGGGGGGCCCTGTGGCTAGGAGTAGAGCTGGGCACGGAGTGGCCAGTGGGGTTCTGGGGGCTTGTTGGTCCATTCATCCCTCTGGTGCCAGCAGAATGATGACCACGGGCCTTCCGTCTTGCTGGCGAAGGCCTTGGGCATTGGGCTTTAGACTTTTCAAAGTGAGTTCTGATTCACTTATGATCTATAGATCACTCTATAGTCCCCATTTTACAGATAGGGAAACTGCCCAGACAAGGGCAGTAACGTGCCCAAAGTCTTTCAGCAAAACGGCAGCTAAACCCTCTGGTTCCCCTAACCTGTCCCACAAAGGAGGTTTCTCGTTTCTGAGCTTGATAGAATGGCCATCTTCAATGGCCACAAGCAAGGCTGACTTAGAGTTAACCTCCCTCGAGGTCACCTGACCATTTTTCTCTTTCTGAACTTCCTTCCCTACCCTGCTGTGTGTTTCCTTGCCCTACAGAGCTCTGTCAGCTGGGCCATGTGCTTCCAGAATCGGAACCCTACTCAGCTCCGTCACTCTACACTTCCTCCATCTACTGACTTAACTGAAGCAGAGTTTTGCAGAGGGGGAATCTGGCAGGGTGGAAGGACAGAACACCTCTGAGATTGTTTCTCCAGCGTCGTTTCTGCAAAATGTTCTCTGCCCTCCCTGCCATTCACACCACTGCAGTGGGGGCTGCCGAGTTCTCAGTGGATGGGTCCAGCAGTGGGTCCTGAGCCCAACTGAGCCAATGGCCCCTTCCTGATCACTAGACTTGAGACAAAATTGTACGTAGTCTCTCCAGGGCTGAAAACCGGACACAGAGAGAACTTGGGAACTGTCAACTGCTGTTTTTCACTGCGGAAAAAGCTGAATTTCAGTGAGAGCAAATGGAGCCGACAATTCCCAGGAAGTGGAATTGGGATGGCGAGATTTTGGTTCAGCCCAGGAGGTCTCTTTTATGGAGAAGACATAAACTTGACCTCTGGGATGGGCATGTCGCCTTGCTCTGTGGCCTGGGCAGCAGGGCGAGCTGGTCTTCAGAAGGAGAGGAGTACCTTCCATGGGCAGCGCTTGCTGAGGCCAGCCCCAGGTTCCGCTGTCCTTGGGGTCCTCCACACCCGGAAAATAAATCCCTCTCCTTTCTGCTTACATGGGCCTGAGTGGTTTGGGTCCCTATGCCAAGGGCCCAGTGCGCTCCAAATCAGAGCGCTGCCCTCCCGGAGGGCCCTCCCTTCAGGCCAGGCACCCACCCTCCACCGGCTCACTCCCGCAGACCGGCGCCTGTTTGTTTCTGCCACAGAGGGCTACCCCGCCACCCGTTGCCCTTCCTGTCTGTCCCTGTGTCCCAGCTGCTGCCGGGCTTTGTACCTCACTGTTTCCAAGCGCAGCAGGGCCCCCCACTCGTCCCGGTCCTGCCTCTCTGGTCGGTTCTTTCTTCCCTTCCCTCCGTTGGTGATTCCGAACCTTCCTTCAGAAGCCGCAAGCCACCAACTCTCCTTTTCTTCTGGGCAGGGACTGTCAGGCGAAGGCGCAGTCGGCGTCCGGGCTTCCCTCCCCGCCCCGCGCCGCGCCGCCCCGCCCCCTCGCTCCCATTGGCTATGTGGATGGCACGTGACCAGCCCTGACCAATGAGGTGGGGGAGGTTACGGCGCGGAGCCCGGACGGCGGCACTGGAGCACCTTGGGGCAGCTAGTGGCCGGCAGGTGACTCCCGGCTGTGCAGAGAGCAAGGGGGACGTGGGCAGAACGGAGACTTGGGACAACTAAACACACCCTCCAACCTCTGCTTCCTTCTGTCACCGGGCTGGGTCGCCCCTGCACCTCACTGAAGGGAGGCACATGCAGGAGAGGTTAGGGCAGCTGATTATAGCGTCCATTCCCTAGATGTGTGACTTCGAGCACATTTCTGCTCTTCAGTTTCTTCATCTGTAAAATGAACAAAGTCACTGCCTCATAGGGGTGTGGGTGGAGTGGAAATGAGACCGTGTGTGTAGAATGTTTAGTAGCTGCGGGGAGGGCCGACTTTGGGCTCTGTCGCCACTGAATTAGAAGCCCTGCAAGCTCTTCTCACTAGCTAAAGGAACTCAGGCTAGTTACTCAACTTCTCTGTGCCTCAGTTTCCTCATCTGTAAAATGGGGATAATAGTCTCATCTCATAAATGTGTAGAGGATCCAAGGAGTTAATTCATGCAATGAACTTAAACAGCACACACCAGCCTTCAGAAATTTGCTCTCAGGTCTCCTGGGGGCATCCTTGCAGTTCCTCTGGGGTACAAACCTAGGAGAATTGCTGGGCATGTGTCACTTTACTAGGTAATGCCAAAATGTTGTCCAAAGTGGTTAGACTAATTTACACTCCCCTGGCAGTCTGTGAGAGTTCCGATTGCTACCCATCCTTGCCAAAACCTGGCATTGTAAGACTAAAGTTTGTGCCAAACCGATGGTGTGGAATGGCTTTCTGTGCATTTCCTTGATCACAATGAGGTCCAGCCATTTGTATTTCCTCTTCTACAAAACACCTGTTCATGACTTTGCCCCCTTTCCCCAGCCCTTCTTTTTGCCCCCCCCCGACCCTTTTTAAAGATTTTATTTATTTTTTGACAGAGAGAGCACAGCAGGGCGAGCAGCAGCAGGCAGAAGGAGAGGGAGAAGCAGGCTCTCTGAGCAGGGAGCCTGATGCGGGGCTCAATCCCAGGACTCTGAAATCAGGACCTGAGCCGAAGGCAGACGCTTAACCAACTGAGCCATCCAGGAGTCTGCTCCCCTCCCCCGCCCCAGTTTGTCATTTTAAATACCCGTATCTTTTGGTAAACTCTTTTGGAGTGGCTAATTTGAGAAATTCTTCCCTTGCTCAAGGTCTTTTAAGATATTCTTCTGTATTTTCTTGTTAATTTGAAATGGGACAGAATTGCAGTGGCCTGGCACTTCGTTCTTCCTAGATTCTCCAGGTCTGTCAAGAGCCTTACACATCCGCCACTTTCTCCCTCAGCATCCCCCCTGCAGTCACGGTGCACTGTTTCCACCTTGGAGGTCTCTGGACCCTGGTTCTCTTCATCTCTGCTAGTTTAGGCCCGCTGCAGCACCACGTGGCAGCCCCCTGCTGTGTCACAGGAAGCTGTCAGATGTGATACCAACTACTGGTTACCAGTTATTAAAGGACTAGGGGTGCCTGGCTGGCTCAGTCAGTAGAGTGGGCAACTCTTGATCTCAGGGTTGTGGGTTTGAGCCCCACGTCGGGTGTAGAGATTATTTTTTGAAAATGCACTACAAAGGCGCTTGGGTGGCTCAGTCGGTTTAGCGTGATCCTGGGGTCCTGGGATCGAGCCCCGAGTTGGGCTCCCTGCTCTGCGGGGAGTCTGCTCCTCCCTCTCCCCCCACCTCTGCTCTCTTTCTCTCTTGCTCAAATCCATCAACAAATATCTTAAAAAACAAAACACTAAAGGACTGGTCATTTCTTTCAAAAGGTGTTTAGAATGAGAGAAGCTCAAGACCATCCCAGTGTCTCCCTCATTTGCTAGCACTTCCAAACGGCAAAGAGGTCCCCATCTGCCTGCCTCAGAGGGCTGCACGGACAGGTGAGGCATGTGTTGTTGCGGAAGAGGGCAGCTATAGGTCCTCTGTGCTTTCCCTCCCTGCCTATTTCTTTTGGTTGCACCAAAACTGGGTTGTAGCCATAGGATGTGTATCATGGCAGAAAAAAAGGCTGAGCACTCTGGGGTCTCACCGCCCACTGGGAGAGTCACAGAAAGCACCCGAGAGACCTGCTTGTGTGAAGAGGTAGAGGTTTATTGAAATATAAACATTCGAGAACATGTAAGATAGAAAATAACCACCACATATACAGACACTTGCTGCAAGAGGACGTCTGAGGTATTTATCACTGCCTAGGCTACCCATGTGCTAGAACATTTTCCTGGTCAGAGTACACATAGATGGTGGGGGGGGGGTGGTGCCCAGAGCGGCCCTGGCCCATGGCCTGCCCTGTGCCCTTCAGGGAAAGCTTCTCTTGCCCGGGGCCCTGCTCCTGGGACACCTGCTGGCATCCCCTCTCTTGGGCTTTCAAGCTGCGTGGGGAAGGGGAGAGGATCCAATGACCAGAAAGCCACAGTGCACTGTCCCTGCATCCTCCGGCTGGGAAGAGTCCATCCTTCGTGACCAAACCCCTGAGAAAGACACACTGGCCAAATGTTGCGACACTTTCAAGTGGGCCCAGCGCCAGCCAACTGGGCTCCTCTCTGGCACAAGATCCCAGACGCCCTTCTCTGCCCACCACCTGCGCTTACCTGGTGGGTAAGGTGGGAAGGCTCCTGAGGCCAGAAGAGGGTCAGGCCCCAGTGGACGGCGCTGTGTGTGTGTGTGTGAGAGCAAGTGTGTGGAAGCCTGGGGAGGGGAGCGAGAAGATGAAGTCCAGCAGAGCTGCAGCTTACCAGGCTGAGGTAGCTGTTTTGTGCTCAAGCTTTTGATTTCCTTTTCCTTCTGTAGACAGGGCTGAATGCTAGCCGCGCAAGGGCTCCCGCCAGCAAGGTGGCCTGTAACCACCAGGGCCTGATGATGTCACAGTGGGTGGTGTTCTATGAGCTCTGCGGGGCATACTCAACGAGAGGGGAGCCCTGTGTGACAACCACTCGTCTTTCCAACATGGGAGCAACCTGCTCCAGCCCAGGGTCCCAAAGGAGGACTGAGTTCACAGCACCCCCTTATCCCCTGGGGCAACTTAGCCTCTCCGGCCTGCCCCTACCCTGAGATGGGAATGCCGAGTGAAGGGCAACCATTCTGTCCCCACCCTGGGGAGCCAGGGAGGGCTGTGCCACAAGCCTTGCTCCGGCAGGAAACGGGTCAGGGGCCATCTCCCGAACTGTGTGGTCTCAGGACCCAACCTTCATGAGCATGGGCCTTCTCGTTCCACCGCCTCCCCTGCCACTGTGATCCCTGAGTCATCTCTCCTGCCTGCCTCCCCGCCTCCTCACTGGGGTCTTAGCGAAGGGCCGGAGGGGCTGGGGTACCAAATGTTTGCTCGGCTTTGGGGGTGATCTGCTTTCATTTCTTTGGTGCTACAGTAACAACAATAAAAATTAACAAAAAAGTCAGCAAAACACATATAAAAAAGATTTCAGAGATGCAAATACTTCCTGAAGAATCAAACATCAACAATTACAAATCTGAGGTATTTCAATGAACCTGACATCAGCAGGTTTGGGGATGCCGGGGCTGAGGTGGCCCCATGAGAAGGGAGGGCCCAAGGGACAAGTGGACTCTTCTTGGGAGAGCTGGCCAACAAGGGCGAGTGAGGGCGTGAGGTCTGGGAGGGCCAGAAAAGGGTCAGTGTGAAATGGGTGCCAGGGCCTGCCTGGGCGGCCCCCTGAGGCTCTGCCTCTCCCTCAGCAGGTACCCGGCAAGCCCTGGGACTTGAGGACTGCCCCCGTGTGCCCCTTTTCCTGGGACCACTAAAAGGGGAGTATGGGGCCCTGAGGACTGCTTCAAGACTTGGATTTGAGGGACCCACACCCCTGGAACCAAACATGGTAGTCAAGGCGGGTTAGGAGGGCCCCATCCCATGCTCAGCAGAGAAGGGCCTCGAAGGCATGGTCTTGGCCCCTAGCAGCCCCACGCGGGAGTTAAAGATTGGAGGACTGAGCAGGGGAAGAGGCCAGTGACCCTGGGGTCCTGACAGAAGGCAGGGGAAGGGCAATAAATTAAAGGGGAAGGGCTGTGGAGGGCCTCCAGCCCTGTGCCGGCTTACAGATTGTCGATACACTGTGCCCGGGACGGGAGGTGGCCTGGGAACCCGGGAGGAAGCTGGATGCCCGTAGACCCTGCCTGGTTCTCCAGGGCGATCCCTGATTGGACAACGCTGCCCTGTCCTGCCCCTGCAGCCTCTCCCTGTCCCCAGAGTACAGCAGGACCTGAACGGAGCCTGGACAGACGGGCACGTCCAAACTCTCAACATCTGGCCAAATGGTGTTTGACATGGGCTCCGTGAGATGAGGTAAATTCTGTGCATCAACCTCCTTCACTCTCGACAGGAGAGTGGGGCGTGGGGAGCTGGGTCCTGCCCCTCAGAGGGACCAGCTGGTGGAGGGCTCGGCGCTGGGGGTGCCCCGGGACGAGGTAGGACTTGGCGAGCAGTGAGAGCTGCTGCTGCCGCTGGCGCTGCCACCCAGGCTCTGGGGGGCGGGCCCCGCGATGAGGTGGACCACGGGCTTCTGGGCAAACAGCACACCTGGCGGGGAGGGGAGGTGGCGAGTGTGAGCAGCTGAGGAGACACAGGCAGTGCTCTGTCCCCGCACGCGTGCGCTGCCTGACCCAGCGCGGGGCTGTGCTCCTCCGCACCCCGCGCTGGCCGCCGCCTGGAGTCCCGAACACCTTCCCCCTTCGGGTGCTCACGGGCCGGCGAGGGGGCAGAGGTAAACCATGCATTTGTGGAGACACAACCAGTGCTCTGCGGGCGCTGCTCCCTTCTCCGGCGGGTGGTGGGAACAAAGAGAAGGTCAGAAGGCAAGGGCGAGCAGGTCAGGAAAGGCTCCGGGGGAGAGAGGAGGCCCGGGCGGGCAGAAAGAGCAGCCGGAGGAAGGGCCGGCGTGCCAAGCGGAGCTGTGACAGAGCCGCGGCGGGGGCACCCGGCAGCATGCACTCAGGGGCGGGAGGAGGGGGGCCGGCGCCTGAGGCGGGAGGGACGGGAGGCCTGTGTGCCTCTCAGGAGGCGGGTCTTACCCTGCACTGTGCTGATGGTGACGCCCCCGGAGGTTTTAAGGGGAGGGACATGATGAGATCTGTGTCTTACAATGCTCTCCGTGGGGCTGGGTGGAATCGGGGCAATGGAGGCCTGCAAGGAAGCCACTCCAGAAGCGGGGAGAGGCCCAAACCAGGGTAGCGGCGGTGCAGGCGGCCGGAGACGGGGAGAGAGCAGAGTAGCGGGGTCCACTCGGCTCTGGGGGCTCCCGGGAACGACTTCCTGGTTCCTGGCCTGCGCGACTTGCACACCCACTGACAAAGGGCACAGGTGGGACGGGGACTGAGGCAGGTGAGGTCTGGGGAACTTTCACCTCTCTTCTGACTGCTCCCCATTCTGAGAGAAGGAGGTGTGATCTCCTCCTTTCTCCTGAGACAGGGAGAGGATTATCAGCTCCAGGCACGGATCCCCTCCTTCCCTGCTTTCTCCGTGGACCCACTCACAGCCCCCAAGCCTCCTAGGTCACCGAACACCACCAGATGGCAAAGGGCACCTAGGCCTTGCCTGCTGGCTCCCCTGGTCTCCTCGAGGGGCCCCTGGTGTCAGGCAGAAACCTCTGACTGTGGCCTCCGAAGCACCGGCCATGTGGTGACTGGCAGGCAACCTGGCATCACTGCTTCTCTGCAGGCTGCCTCCGAAATCTGTCCCTTCCCTGGCTGCAACCCTGATGCCCACCGCTGGTGGCCCAGCAGAGATCCAGAGCCTGAGGCCTGCAGTGTGGTGCCCCAAGGGGGCCCAGCCCCCAGCCCCCAGAACAGGAACATTCAAAGGGACAGAACATGCCCTGAGGAAATGCCCCCAGTGTGACGGAACATGCTGCTTTAAGCCCCTCCACCGGGCACCTCCTGAGCCCTCTGTCCAACATGAGGCTAGCATGCCTGGGCTCTCCGGCCCCCACTCATCAAACTGCTCTTAGTAAGAGCTGGCTGGGCTTGTTCCCAAACTCACACCTAAACCAAAGAAATGGGGGTGGGGAAAGGGCTGGTTTCCAGCAACTGGAAAGACTCAGTAGAGGTGCGAAACCAACCAGCCAACAAACCACTGCCCAACCAGACTGAGAAGGACAACTGTGAAGGACTGGGCGAAATCCTACAATCAGGGGCTGCTTCTGCCGCACTCAGATTCCTCTGCCTGCATGTCAGTCCTTGGTCCATTTTACAGAAAGGGAATGACAGGCGGTGTTTAGGGAGAGCGGGCTGAGCCGGTCCGAGGAGAGCAATATGTCACAGGTGGCTTATGACATGATGTTTAGGGCATGGGTAGCTTCACACTAAAGGACGGCTGCAATTAACGAGCCAGCCATTGGTCCAAAAGGGTCAGACGGAGGGTTTCTATTGTTCTGTCAAAGCTGGGGGGAATCTGTCATCCTGTTAGCAACCCTCAGCTTCTGGCTGGAAAAACCACTTAACCTTTGGAACCTTGAGACTACATGCAAGAAAGCCACCCCCGGGAAGGGGGTTCAGATGGGAGGGTGACAAGCAGGGCCAGCCAGGACTGCCACGCTGTGGACCTCCCTCGGAGCTCCAAGAGCCTCACCTGCATAGGTGGTGCCATCGATGTCCACAGACATGTTGATGCTCCCGATGCTGCCAGTGGCCAGGTTCAGCGCTGCAGCCGAGGCCTCTGATCTGTCTTCTGCTGGGGACAAGGGAAGACAGCGGGCCTGGTCAGGCCTCCTGGCGCTGCAATGTCCTCTTGGAGGCTCTCCCGCTCTCCCGGACTGGCCACAGCTGGCCGAGGCCTCCCACTTCTAGAAAGCATCCGTACAACCTTCTCCTGAGCATCAGGTCTGGCAAGAGAACCCAGGCTTGCCAATGTCCTGTTGCTTGCTTTCCCCATTTTCCGCTGAGCCACTTACTTCCCCCGCTTCCTCTGTTGTCCAAGGAAAGGGATCACAGGCAGCAGAGCACTGACCCTGGCTCCTGGCTGTGCACCGACACTTTCAACGTGATTCGGCCAACCCTAACTAAGCACCTACCACCCATTGGACTGGGGAACCGGAGACGAGGAAGACCCAGTCACCACCTCTGGGAATCTGCCTTTCCTCCTCCTCCGCTTAAAGCAGGCTGGGTCCTCAAGGAGAGGGTTTGCCTGCCCAGTGTGTGGCCCGGCACCTGTGACCCATTTCAACCTGACCATCTGTGAAAGCTGCAGGTGCTGGTACCCGGGGCCTCTGCCTGGCTCACCCCAGACTCCGCCCTTTCACCATGCAGCCAAGAATTCTTCCGGAGGAGCTGTTTTTCTCTTAGTGTCTGGCTTGTGCAGGACCAGGGGCACCGACCCTGAGAGGGGCACAGAGCAGAGCTGTTGCCGCCGGCGTCCTTCTGCTCCTCACCTGGGACAGGGGGGCAGGGAGCGCTGCCTGCGAATACGCACAGCTCCCTTCACACCTGACTTCTTCCCATCACATGCTCGCTGAAATTTGTTCTGCGATAGTGTCAAGGGCAAGAACCGCAAAGAAAGTGTGTGTGGGGAGGGAGGGAACAAGGGGCATGGAGTGTGTGATTCAGGAGAGAAGGCAGGGCACCTGAGAAACGAGTAGGGGGAGGGAAGGATGTCAACGATGCTACCAAACTTGTATTTCCTCTTTTCCCCTGGTTCCGGAGGGTCACAGGCAGCCTGGCCTGAGGCACTCGGGCCCCTTGTGGAGGCTTGGGGATGGAGGGGCTGCCTTCCGCCCAGAGCCCAGCTCTACATCCGGGGAGGCGCTGGGGGGGAAGGCCGAGCCCTTTCATTTAGACAGATCAAAAGGCTGGTGAGGAAGAGGAGCAGAGCAGCTGTCCCTGAGGGCCTCTGGCCCCTCCTCCTTGAAGGACTCCTCTTTTTTGCCAGAGAACAGGGCGCTGCCTGAGGCAATTTTTGGTCAGCTTGGTGAGCTGAGATCCCAGTGGCCACATAAGCGCCATGTGACTTTCTGGCCTTGAGACTGTTCTGGGATGTGAAGCCCAGTCCCAGGATGTGAACGGGCCCTGGAGGGGAGCCCAGGTAGGCACCCAGCGGGAAGGGAGGCCCTGCTAGGGGGCCTGGCGCTCACCCCTGCCATTGATCCTGATCTTCATGGGCAGCTGCCGTGCCACGCTGAACAGGCTGCGCTGGAAGGCCTGCTGCACCAGGCGCTGCTCCTCCTCCGACAGCCTGGACGCCTTCTTCTCGGGCGGCTCCCCTGACTCCAGCCGCTCCCGCAGCTGTTCCAGCGCGGCCGTCCGGGTACCGGCCTGCTGGCCTGCCAAGGCCACAGGCACAGCCAGGCGATTTGGCACGGGCACTGTTGTCACTGGGACGCCATCACCTGGCAAAGGCACAGGAGCTGGACTGATTCATGATCCCCGGCCCCTGCACCTGACAGTGGGCTCTGCCACTCCCGCCCTGCCCACCCTCCCTGCGGGGCCCTACAGACCTTTCCTGAGAGTGGCCGCAGGGGGTACCCGAGGGCTGCTGGCATTAGCGCCACTGCTGGAGCCCAGCCCGAGGATGGGGAAACGGATCTTGGGTGGGGAGAGAAGGGCGGGGGCCCCGGCGGTGGCGGCAGCAGGAGAGTAGCCCAGGAGGGAGGAGCTGTAGCTGGGCCGCCGGCCCTCCCTCCGGTTGCCGTCGATGGCGGCCTGGAGCTCGGCCGGGGAGCTCAAGGCTTTCTTCTCACACTCATAGGCATAGAGATACTTCATGTACCTGGAGGGAAGGAAGGAAGGGAGGAGAATCGTCCAGAACGGTACAAGAGGCCACCCAGTTTAAGTTTATGGGTCTCCGTGGGACAGGCCTCTGGGACACAGGATCACTTGGCCGAAGAGGAAGGTCCAGGGCGGCCGGATGCCCTGCCCCAGGCCCCTCTAGCTGCTACTCAACACTGTACCAAACTCTGCTCCAAATGGAGGCACCGTTCCTTAAGAGAAATAAAGAACATCTTCACTCATGTTTCATGTTTGTTTTGGCACTGTTTTAGGTGCCATTTAGAAATGTTTTTGCAATGTCCTCCTGGCTCCTGGATGCCCTCACGATTCTGAGTCAGGCTGGTCAGGTAGGAGCACTGTTTCCTGTCCCTCTTTGCATCACATGTCCCAAGAAGCAATCATCTACCCAAGAACCTTGAGAGGAGGACTGCTGTACTGATTACAGCTCCGTCCCCAACTTCTGCTGGAACAGTTCCAAAGATAAAGCCCTTCTCCTTTTCAGCATACTGCCTCACTGATGCTCATTCCGCATTCTCCAGAGAGCAACACCCAGTGTGTTCCAACGAATAGATTCCCCTCGGCCCTCATTCTCTGATGCTACCCTTGGTTCCCCTGCTCCTAGTACCCCCATAATTAACTCAAATGATGATAAAAATAGGTCCCAAATCCCAGGTCCTCTGTTGCCAGGCAAGCAGAGTGTCAGGCAGGAAGGGCTAGGCTTAGGGTGGAGGTGCCGTGTGGGAGATAATGTTCTGGAAAGAGTGCTATGGGGCCAGAAGCCCAGGGGTGAATCTCAGCTCTGCTACTACTAGCTGGTATGGCCTTGATCGAACCATTTAACCTCGGAGACTCAGTTTCTGTTTCCTGAAGAATGAGACAGCACCTACCTCACAGCGTTGATGGTGAGGTCTGAAAGAAACAGAATGGCAAAGTAGCCTTGGCAGACACTTGGGAAATGGTGGCTCTCATGATCACTTAGGTGTAGAAAGGGATTTGGCTCCTGGCTGCATTGGGAATTCCTCCCATCTTGCCCACTGTACAGTGGAATTTCCTTCCTTCCTCTCCTCTAGGTTAAAACATCCCCTTTCTCCCAGCCTCAGCTTCCTTTCCCTAAGGCCCCGGCCACTCACTGGGTCCTCAGGGTAAAGGCGGCGCTGGTGATTGATGTGGGCAGGTTCAGGCCTTTGGTGATCTCCCGCCAGATCTTCTTGTTGATGATCTCCACCAGGCCCCCCTTCTCTGTCACCAGCTTATACAGCATATACAGGTCCAGGATCTGCTTGGCCATGATGGGGATTCGATTGATGGGGGTCCCTGTGATTGCCCAAATAGAGAAACAGAGGGTTGTGTCATCAAGCAGAGAAAGACGACATATGCATGTGCCCCGCTTTTGCGGAGTTGGAAATATGTTCATGAATCTGCTTTAATCTGACTCAAATTCCCGAAGCTGGAAGCTATCAAGACTAGCCGCCAGTTCTCCTTGGGATGAGCAAAAAGGTCCGACTCACAGGCTTTGTGGTCTTGCTTAAAACATGAGCCTCTGGCTCTGTCTTCCCATCTGTAAATAAGATGGCTGCACTAGATGGCCTCAAAGTTGGGTTTTTGTTTTGTTTTGTTTTTGGCTAGCAGGATGAGTCCAGATTCTTTCCTAATGATGTGGCAACTCACACCCCTCCGGGGCCTTCAGAAGCCACTTGAGCGGTTCCACCACCCACCCGCACAGCTCCAGTGCACTCTGTAACAGTACCGCCTGCTTCCTCCTCTCTTGCGGCAGGACAGAGAGATGTTTTCTCTCCTGTGTCCCCCACTGAGTCAAAGGGGCTGCTGGACACACACAGGTCTCCAGGGGGATGAAAAGCCACTGAACGACGCTCTCCCCACTAATCGCTCCACCCCTCCCTGGCCTCTGAAAGAGGGAGGGTCAGAGCGGCTTCCGCCACTGGCCCCGAAGGGAAGTGAGAGGAGCCGGGGACTTGATTAGGAAGCCTGGCACCAGGCAGGAAGGCCCACTAATGAGCACCAGGGGACGGCAGGGAGGGCGGGCCCAGGGTCCTTCCACAGGCCGCTGGGATGTTCGGCAGGAGGCGTGATGGATGACTGTCATTTGGCAACCTCAGGATTAATGATCTGGAGGTCAGAGGGGAGAATTCCACAGGGAAGGGTCACCGTCCGGGGCAGGGTATGAGACTTGTTGCCTTTTGATGGCAAACTCCTTTTACTGTACACAGGCTGCTCTCCTCTGCCTCGGCCCCCTCCCACCGCCCAGTCTTGCCGAGGGTCTCGCTGACTGCCTGGTGGGCGGTGAGCCAGCCTGACTTTCGAGCAGTGCTGTTTGTTTCAGCTCCTCCCGCTTCTTTCCCCTCAAGGAATGGCATTTTCTTCCTAGCCCTGAAATGTTGGCCTCAACAACTCTTCCACAGGGTAATTCAAGCAAGAGAATGGAGCAAAGAGTCCCATGAAGAGCAAGCAGCATGAACATGGGGGGGCTGTGTGGCAGCAGTGTGAGGAGGGGGCACGAGGTCTTCGAGAACTCCGTCTTGGTCAGCTGGTCCTCGGAGGGTCAAACACAAAGGGGTCATAGTGTTAGATCCAAAGATACACAGGTAAAAATAGCAGAGGACTGTGGGTACCCTGCCAAGACACACAGCTTGTGTTGGTTAACTTTTCCTCTCTGTGCTGCTCTGGACAATAAATCTGATTCCTGACATAAGCACAAGAGCCTGGTCTGGCAGAACTGGTCTCCTGGCAGGACCAGGGCTAAGGTCCACCTCCTTCTGGAGGCCTGTCTACCCGAGCACACTCACGGTCCAGGCCAGTTTGCATCCTCATGGCATCACCTGGAGACTCTGGAAGGACCACGCTCATGGTCCCCTCACATTTCCAGAAGCTTCCAGGACATCTCCACGATAACCTGTTCACTTCCAAGTCAGAATGTTCACACTGAGCTCACCGTTATCCCCAAAGCCAGCCCCTCCTTTCTCACCACTTCCTCTTCTTCCAGCAACACCATCGTCCTCTGAGGTCTCAGGCGGCACCGGCCCCTCTCCGCTCCCCCATCGCCCACCCTGAGGTGGTTAGGAGGCTCCAGTGATTCTTCCTGGGAGGCGCCTCTCTCCGATGTATCTTCCTTTCCGCCCACGGCGGCCTCTTACCCGCGCGCTCCACCTGCACACTGCGGCCACCGCGACGCTCGCGTCCTTGTTCCGCACCAGACCCTGACGCCTGCCCAGTCTCACCACCCGGGTCCCCCACACCCCTTAAAAGATTGCCTGCGAAGTATTTCAAGCATCCCGATGACGCACTCTCTCACTCTTTAGCTGGGTCTCCTCATGACCCTTCCCAGACCAGGCTCATTTCTACTCTCTGCTTTGTGTTTTCCCTCATCAAGCCGAATGTGACCTGCCTCCGCTCAAATCCTCTACACCTTGGCCTTCAGGAAGAATCTTCTAACTATCCCAGTTCAGGGGATTTCTTCTCTCTCAGAATTCCTATTACAAGCCCTACAAGCTCAGCAGGTAACGAGTCTCTAATCGTTTTACGTACGTTCACCTGGCATCCCAGGAGGACTGGAAGCTCCACGAAGGCAGAGAGAGACTGTTTCCCCCTCACCATGCCCTTCAGAATTACAGTGTTTAACAGATGAAACTGCCGCGCAGATGCGGACAAAAAAAGGTTTCTCAGAGTCAAAGCAACCAGCTATGGGTTACCCAACTGGGACCCTCTGACGCACTTCTGTCATGCTTGTGGTGTGCCCGCCAGACCTGTCACCAGCATCACATGTCTGATGCTGACAGCCCTGAGCAGAAGTCACCTTCTCCTCTCAGGTCCCAGCAGGTTCATTAGGGTCACGACCCTTGGTAAACAGCCTGGGGAATGGAGGCCGAGGGTGCGTAAGCTCTTTGTGTCCACATCCCACGCTAAGTGGACAAGCAGCAGCAGAACGGATGGAGAGCCAGGGGGGTTGGAGAAGGTAAAGAATCTGTGACTGCACTTGGTGGGGTCGAAGGGATGAGGAAGCAGGGGTTAAAGAGTGGAATATGGCTGGGTCTGTGCCATACACAGATGGGCGCGGCTGAGTGTGTAAGACCAGGCAGGGGCTTGCCCAGCCGGTGGAGCGCTGTTCTCCAGAACAGTCACCTTGGGGAACCAGCTACCCTGCGGTTTTGGAGATCCATTTGCAAATGGCCTTCTGAGTTGGCATTATTTTCGTTAGAATCTCCAATGGTGGTAAACCTTCAAACATAAAGGGTGTATTTTACATTTAGAAATGGTCGTTCATGGAGGCAAGCCAGGAGAATAGGAAGTGACCAGGCTGTTTATACTGATTTTATCTGAAGATGAGGTGTAGTCATAAACCATGAGAGGTTCTCAGGTGTGGCTCACACTGCCTCTGGAGGCAACTCCCTAGAGAGGAATTATACATTTACTCTGAGTAGTCACTGGACTGTCTAGTTATTTGAGGTGGCTTCTTTGAAAGATAACGATGTTATAGTTGTAGAAATTTCAGGAAAAATGCACCTTTTTATAGTCGTAGAGTGTGACTGCATGAGGCTGAGAACTGCTCAGGGTGGCGGACACAGAGGTAGGTATGGGAGCTGGGACAAGGAAGGGGAAAGTGGCATTTGAAGTCAAGACTGTAAATCTAACCAAAAAGTGACTTCTTCCCAGCCCCTCTGGGAAGAAACCACAGGTCTGGGGCGCACTGGCACCAGGTGGTGGGCCCCACAGTCCTGCTCTGTGGTTCAGCCAGGCACCCTGGTTCAGAGATCAGTGGATAAGGAGACTGGGCACGTTCTTCCCAGAGTCTGGCCCTCTGTGAAACTGCTAAAAATAGCTCCCAGGGCAGGAGGGCCTCCAGGTGCTGTCAGAAACAAAGCCGAGACTATTCTGAGTGCCAGCTCAAAATGACGGTATGGTTTTCTCACGTTATCCAGACAATCCAGACACAAAACCTGTCCTGGCTTCCATTCTTCTGACAACCAAGAAAGAGGCTGGATCCTCAGGCTGGTCTGTCTCTACAGTCTGCTCTGTGCCTAACAGACCTGGCACCCATCTCCCTTGTCCCAAGGAGACTCAGCTATGAAGAGAGAGGGGGAGAAGGCCTTTTAGCTGAGTTTATCTTCTGAACAAGAAAGAGAACCAATATATCATACTGGGGGGTGGGGATGAGGGACAGACATATTCAGGTCTCAGTTTCTCCATCTGAAATGAGGAATTTGGACTAGATGACTTTCAGTCCCATGAGTCTAAATAAGTTATTAAAACTTAAAACAAAAATTGATAGTCGTGATTATTACTGAAGGGAGGGTGACTTGGTTTTAGGAGCTTGCCTGAATTATGGAATAATGTTGCCAAGTGACCTTGAGATGGTGGTTTAGGAACTTCTCCTAGGAAGGCCCCTGTGTGGCCACAGACCACAATGTTCGTTCTTTCCTCAACCTAGAGGGGAAGAGGGGCATTTATGGCCTGCTCTCTGGGCTGGATTAGATCTTCCTCTAAGGAGGCTCTTCATCTGAGAGGTGACAGGTCTCTGTCCACAATAAATGCAAAAGCAACCTGCTAAGAACCAGGAAGGAGGCAAGCAGCCACTGCAGACAGCGCTCTGTGGGTCACTGGTGTTGGCCCTGCAGGAGGCCGAATCTCCGCCCCCATCACGCCTCCCAGAGGGGGTGTGAGTACCTGATGGGGAAGCCTGTGTACTGTCAGTCACTGCTATCAAAGCAGGAGCTAGGATTGAGGGTAATTAATCATGCTCCTTCTGACAGGAATCCAGGGCCTTATCTGTACCCCAAGAAATGCCGCTGGTCTCCAGTTCCCTCCTCAATAAAAGAGACTGACAGTTCCAACAAAGAGGGCCCTTATCAGATTTCAGCCAGGGAGCCTGAAGCAGCCCAAGGGACAGTGTAGAAAAAAGGCTTTTATGAGGGCCGGGGACCCAGCGAGGTTGTGGGGCTCCTGGGGCTTTAACCCTTGGGTGGTGGGAATGCCGCTGGGCACGGGCACTCGCAAGGCCAAAGCTGTCAGCAGGAGCTTCCAGCCAGATCGAGCCAAACAAAAAAAAATCCTGCTCCCTGGCACTTTGCTCTCCTTCCTGCCATTCAGACTGTGGAGACAGAGCTAGGGATAGGGGTGAAGGCAGACGGAGGAGATGGCCTCCTTGGGCACTGGAGACAAAGATGGGAGATGGCAGGAGTGTGGGAGGGAGGGTGACTTCCTCCCCACCGCAGAGAATGGGCCCACTCCAATGATGACCAGATGCAACTGGGAGCAGGGACCCCAGACAGAGTCACATGGCTGCCTTCCTGCCCACTGAT